AAGAAAAAATAGAATTGATTAATTATTAACTGAGTTACAATTTTTTTTTAATTATTAGGGGACTGCTGGCTTTACGTTTACTTGTTGGTGTGTCAGAATGACAAAAAAACTTCGGGATCTATATAACAGTTAGGTGCTTTTTAGGTGCTAATTAGGGCATCTAATTAAAAATTAGGTGCTCCTCTAGTTTTTGAGCACCTAAAAAGCACCTAATTCTGATACAATCGAAAAATTTGAAAAAATATTTTTTATTTTAGGGGACTGCTAGTTTCCATTAACCTGGCAGTCCCTTTTTTTTTTTTTTGAATATCTCAAAAAAACAAATGAGAATAATAAACATAATCCTACACTGCTATAACCAAATCATTTCAGCGGTCAGTTCCTTGGGTTATGATTCTTGAATGGTGGGGGGCTATGACGTCACACTTGGCTGTCAAAGTTGTCAACCAAAAGAATAACCACGGTATTTACCGATAAATAATCATTCCGGGCTGAAAATCGCCTCTATTTTCGATAAAACCGCGACGGCGGAAATATATTGGTTATAACCAAATAATAATCATTCCAGGCTGAAAATCGCCTTATGCCTCAAATCCCAGATCTAGATCTATTGTATTCCCGAAGTCTGGTTAATAAGCTACCTACTGAAGATTTTCAATTTCACTTTTAAAAAATCCTTGCGTCACATATAGTGCATATAAACTAAGATAATTACCACTTAATTTCTTGAGCAATCGTGTGTCAATTTTAGCATAAAATTTTTCAAAAAAACATACGCAAAATCTTATATAGATCGGAACGTCCAGATAACAGAACTGGGTTACGCACGACATATTATTAAGCGTTCATAATAAAACAAAGAAGTTCCCATCAGTTGGTTCTATTTTTGTTTTTGGACTGCAGCTAATTAAAACATTTTGTTCAGTTTGTGGCAAAAGTTTCGTGAAACAATAGAACATAATAAATATTTCAATATTGCAAATTTTTGAAAATACTAATACTCATAAGCCTCTATTATATAACAATATGTGTAAGTGCCGGTAAATCACATTCGTTCCCTAAAGCTAAACCCAGGCAGAACCATTAAAATTAATCACTTTCATCTACTAAAACCTATTTGGGTTATAAAAATAACGTTTCCCCAAAGCTAAAACTGTGCAGTTTTATTAAATTGGTTAATCAGAATTGGATCGTGGGTCATCAAACCATGAGTTGTTATTTTGCTTCCTGATTGATGGAATTTTATTATGTCAAAATGTTATGCCTCAAGATCTGATGTTCAGTTGAGTGTAACGCAGGTTAATATTATTTATTATCCTAAATTTATGAGCTAATATGGAATATGTCTGTTATTATTTATTATCGTTAAATGTCAGGAGTGTGTTTGGGAGTCAAAGTATTAACGGATGATAAAATACGAGGTGGTTTTATAATTGGGAGTTAGTTATTTCACTTTTCCTGAATTACTTAATAAATAAACGTTGCGGAACAATCAACAGAAAATGATTTTATAGGTATTTGAATTATGACCGAAATATATAAACTCTTTTTAATTAATTTAATGTACTCAATTTTTAATCACATTTCTATAGCCAATAGTAAAAATCAGGCTTGCTAAAGAAATTTTTATAATTGCCTAAAGAGGAAGGATTAGCATTAGGAACACAATAGAACCTTGACTTTTATTAACGTTATTTATATGACTTTTTCCTTAATCAGATTAAAATTTTAGGTCGACCGCACATGAACAAATTATTCAAAAATTCCTTTTGGAAAGATTAACTACCATGGAAGTTTATTTGCCATATTTTGTTTTAAATGTTTCAAGCACCTACGTATAAAAAGGTCATCTTATGTTGAAGCCCACCAATTTAGCTGTATAATTTGTCATTTTCCAAAACACCATTGTCGTCTTTACGTAAAATGTTAAATATTTACACATAAAGGGAAATGTGAATAAAATCCATAATTCATGAATAAAATGGAAGATTTCATGCACATCCATCCATGTGAAAATGATAAAATATGGAGCTTGAATATTATTCTGACCCAACATCTTTTGTCACATCTCAAACCAATATGAATTAAATATTTGTGATTACAGTACATATTTGAATTCAAAGAAATTCTTACAATAAATAAACTTTCTTAAATTCCTAATTTGCACTTTCTGGTAAAGGTAACCCAATATTAACAGTGGGTAATTTGAACTTTAGGTTTTGTAGCAACTGCTCACGAACTGTTGGCAAACAGTCAAATGCTGTTTGAAGAAGTGACAAAGAAAATTAAGGTCTTCAATTGATGAGTAAGTACTAGCGCGGATAGAGTTAAAGTGCAAATGTGTTTTGAAATTTTCGTGCCTTGCAATTAATAAAGAAATAAAGCAATCTTTAGTAAAGTCATACAGTAGATATCATTTTTTTTTTGAGTCAAAATCCTTGACTTTAGAAGTAAATCGGAAATTAGAGTTCTCGCCAAAATTATTTCCACTTAAAAAATATTTGGCTTGCTCTTTTAGACTCTCACTTTTTTTACAGTAAAAAAGTTAAATTATTGCATAATAACTATGTATTAGCAAGCCAGAAAAAAAAAACAGAAGAATATTACAAAATTCTTATGTCACATGAAATTAAAAACATTTAATCAAGATGGTTAGCATGGGTATAAGCCTGGAGCTAGTCATGTAAAGTCATATTATTTATTTCTACAATTACAGTCATTTTGTTGTTAACTGTGTATGAATGCATGCATATAAAATGACAACTGGTTTCAATGAAATCATTAATTGATTAATTGTAGCTAATTGAATATTTTTCAGGTAATAATTAAATGAGTTTTCCTTATATTACAAAGTATGATAGATTAACAGCAATATTTTTTTAAATAAACATTAGATACCTATCTGATAAAAACAACAATTAGGCATTGTAGTTGTTAAGTTTTCTGATTTGTCGGGTTATTATTTCTAAAGTTATAAGTTGATTAATCAAAATCTAAACCTTTGAAGATGACTTTCTAAAAACTCCGTCTATATCATAGATAGGATTCTGAAGTTTTCAAAGAATTTTATTCTAGTGAAGGACTACAAATCCAGAAAATTTAGCTAGTTTAGAGTTATAGTTCCAGAGGTACAATCTCGCTAGAAAACAGGATTTTTTTTATCATTTTTCAATTAGTCCGTTGCTCTATTTCGACTTAAAATCTCTCAATGATTCACTGTATGAAATAAGGGTGGTTGGGGCGGTCTCAAATCATCAATAATCAAAATCTCAACATGGAAAAATTTGAAATTTCAGAATTTTTTGAAGGATTTTTATTGGATACGAATCTGGTAGCGGTAGCGGTCTTCACATTCGACATTTAAACTTGAAGAATTGATGAGGTATTATTAAGCTTTTTTACACAATTGTTTTTTTTTTATTAGTCAATGACCAATATTATTATTTTTTCTCCAAACGTCAAAAAAACGTCACTTTGTTAACGCCTGTCAAGATGTCAGAAATTTAATTTCTATGCTGCTAGACAAATCCAGCGGGTTAACACCTGTCGAGGTGGTAGAAATTTAATTTCTATGCTGCTAGGCAACCGCAGCGGCAGTAGAAGTACTTTTAGTGCCGCTGGAGCGGCAGCAAAAGTACTTTTAGTGCCGCTCGTACTTTTACTGCCGCTCAACCATTCAGTTACCCCCGAGCTCACCCCATTCGTTTGGAGAAAAAATAGCGTGTTGCATACGGAGTAGAAGCACTTTTTTGTGCTTCAGCAGTATTGCAAGCCTCACTACGTTCGGCTCGCAAACCTACTGCTTCAGCACAAAAAAGTAAAGCTTCTACTCCTAATACAACAATATACTATTTAGATGAATCACAATTATTAGTTCTACCGTTGGTGTCACCCCCTAAAACCACCCTCAAAGTTATTTGCAAGTCCTTTTGGGTACTAAGCGTGTACTGCCTATAACTTCCAGTACCATTTGTGCATGGTGGACCCAATTTTATCAGTTTTACCCCCAATGTATTATAATTATTATTATAATAGTCTTGTGAGAAAAAGGACCATCGCAGGTACGCTCATGCATAGGTTAGGTATTTAAAATTTTATGGAAAGTTATAAAATAAAATAAAGGACCCCGCACACCTCTTATGGGTTTTTGGTTTTCTGTCAAACTCAATGAAATTTTGATATGTGTTAGACCTTGACTTCCTGATAAAAAGTTCTCATGGGCCCGAACCAATCCTATGATTAGTTTTTGAGATACAGGTACTTTTATGTCCAAGAAATGTATACATTTTATATGTATTTACATCTACCTGTCACCTAATAATAGGTCTGTTTCTGCAAAAATCACAAACTTGTCAGAGCGAATTTGATTGGTCGAAAACAGTCAGAAACAGTCAGAAAACTAGTTACAACCAATGAAATTCACTCTGACAGACCTAATAATAGGTGACAGGTAGATGTGAATGCATATAAAATGTGTACCACCTGTATTTCGGAAACTAATCATAGTATCGGGTTGGGCCCATGAGAACTTTTTATCAGTAAGTCAAGATATACCACATATCAAAATTTCATTGAGTTTGACAGAAAACCAAAAACCCATAAGATGTGTGAGGGGTCCTTTAAAAAAAACTGACGCCACTACTGATCAATCGGCAATGTTCGGCAGTCTGGCTGCTAATTTTTAGCTGCAAAGTTCATATCAGATTTCTTTTATAGGATCTGAACCTGTATGTAGTAGTTGAAAATAATAATTTGTCTCTCATTGCCTAATTTTCACGATCCAAAAAACAAATTAATTAAATTAAACTAATGTAAACAAATATGGTAATTACAAAAAAAAAAACATAATGAGAACCAACCTAGACATAGAATATTATCCATGTATGTCTCAAACATAAATTATTGCATCAATATATGAGATGATGACCTTCCGAGAGGCTTTAAGATCATTTTTTATTAATAATTAAAATATTTCCTAACCGAGTTTTTGTCTGTTTCAGAATTTTCGCCTACAATGGAGCGGTACCACATTTTAAAGTTGGGTAAGTCTGGGTAGTACAATTAAACTTGTTTTTGGGTAAATGTCACATTAGAATACAATAAATGTGGACTTAATTGTTGTTTGGTTTGTTTTTTAGAAGGCTATAGTAGATTATAATATAATAATTCAGGCCAATTCTTATAAAATAATTCATACCTGCCCAGTCAATTAATGTGGAATATTGAGTTTTTTAAAACGCTCTAGAACATTTTAGAACTTTGTTAAGCTTCAGGACATTTCAATTCAATTTTCAATTTTCTTCAATCAGGACAGTTTAGAACCAGTTAAGAATTTTCAGAAACAATTGAGCAAGACTTGAATACTTTGAAGTTGAAATGTTTAGGAGCATTTTGAAACGTCTTAGAACGCTTTAGAACTTTTGGAAAATTTCAGAATAGGTACCTACTCTTATGCCAAATAATGATGTACAACATTAAGTTTTTTAAAACGCTCTAGAACACTTTAAAACTTTGTTAAGCTTCAGGACACTTCAATTCAATTTTCAAGTTTCTTACGCTTATCAACAACATTTTAGAATTTCATGGAACAAACGTTAATTATTCAGACCCAGTTAAGAATTTTCAGAAACATTCCAGAACACTTCAAAATTTTCAGTAACATTTGAGCAAGATTTAAATACTTGCTCAGGAGCATTTTTCAACTACTTAGAACGCTTTAGAACTTTTAGAAAAATTTAAGAATACTCCTGTGCTAATCCAAAACTAAAAATATGTTTCCAAGCTAAACAAATAGATTATTCATATCAAACTTTTTCTTTTCTCCATTCACAAAAATTAAAATGCCACAAAGCAGAGGAGCGTATAAAATGTTAACCAAAATATTTGTCTGCCATTGTTAACGATTATAATCGCAATTAATTCAATTTGACAATGGTGTATCAAAATTTTACAGTCACTGGGTACTATGGTAGAGCATCAAGCATTTTAGATGATGATTCATCCTTTTATAGTTTTTTTTTAACACTCTTCTATCTGATTTCAACCGCAATTAAAGCTGCATTGACCGAAATGGAGATTCTTTTGCTTTAACAAACTTATCGGATCTTGGCTCAACACTATGAGATAAATCAAAATGATATTTTCATGCTCGATCTATTAAAATTTATCAGTACTTTCGACCAAAGAACAATAAAACAATCGATTCGGGTGAAATGCCGACGACACCCACAAAAATATCTACTGTGTCATTGTAATAAATGATGATACACCGAGGAGGATGGTTTCTCCAATTTTGGTTTGACATAATGGGTGTAACATTGAAGTAAATTGAAGAATGTCGGAAGTTTTTTTTTAAATGAATTATTACCTCACTTATCTTTGAGAATTTTCTATTCCACCATAAGAAAAAATCCGATAGTTTAGAAGTGAAGTCGACCTCTGATGCTGATATATAACAATAGCCTAAAAATAGGTTTATCATCGTTCTAGTACATTTTAATGAATGACAAAGAAAATGCCAGAGTTCTGTTCATACAATAAACATCATTCGAGAAAGTCTTTACCCTTTTGCGTAATCCATTAACCAAAAAAGTTACGCCACTGTTGCGGTTTCCGCGGAACATACGCGCACGCACACGATACTTTAAAAGATCGATCTTATGGATAAAATTGTTGTTGGCAGAAGAAGAAATTGGTTTGGCAATTGTATTTTCCTATTGTTTCATTATATTAGTGTCGTGTGAACTCCTTATTTGTTGACTTATCTGTCTATGAAGATTGGCGTGTAATATTGACGCAAGAGATTTTGGTTGGATAATAACTATTGATACATTTTCGACTCACGATTGCCAAAATATTTACGCCTTTTGTTTTTTGGAAAGTGAACAACTACATATTGTGTTGTAAATGGCATAGGGGAGAAGACAATGATACATTATCTGGGATGAGTAATAATAATAATAATAATAATAATAATACATTTATTGTCATAATGCCATAAATTACAAAAATGGTTTACAATTTTATTCTAAAAGTAACACATGCATTTATAGCCGACAATAGGCCTTAATAAATATGCAGACATCTGGAAGTTCCAGATACTGTTCAGGCCTCAATTTAAAATGACAATCTAATATTATATCAATTTTAAAACATTATTAACTGCGAGAAAAAAATACAACTACACGATCTATCATTATTAAAAATTACTTTGATTCCAAACACAATTCTTAAGGGTAAGGAGAGGACAATGGTAGGAAAAATAGGAAATAGAGGGGCTATTGCAATGTTTACGGAGTGGTGTTTTTATTTTATTTTTATTTTTTCATTTTTTTCAATTATTAGATACTTTTGTTTAAATTTATTTACTGAGACTGAAGTAAATATTTTTTAAATTGTTTTTTGAAAGTATGACATGACAGTTCAATATTTGAAAAGTCTAAAGAGTTTAATAAATTCGGAACATTATAAGAAAATGAACGTTTAAATATTTCTTTTCGGTGTTGTGGTATTCTTAAAGTATTTTTCCTGCGTAGATTCACATTATGTATATCGGTGCGATAAGTTATTTTCTCATATAAATAGGGTGGAGATTTGTATTTTAAAATTTTATAGTAAAATGTGGCTCGATAAAGTTTAAATCTATTCAACATATTTAGCCATCCCGACTCGGACAAATACTGTGAAATATGGTTACGTCTTTTAACACCATATATAAGTCTTAAACACGAATTTTGCACTTTCTGAATTCTATAACGATCACCACTATCCAGACACGGTACATAGACACTACTACAATGAATAAATTGAGAAAGAACAAGGGCATCACAAAGTAACTTTCTAGTATCTAGGGGAAGGTAGTGCCTATGGCTGTAGATATTTTTCAGGTTACCGTATGCCACTCTTAATTTAGCTGTAACGTGTTCTTTAAAACGTAAATTAGAATCTAAAAACAATCCCAAACTTTTACTGGTATTTGAATAAGGAAGCGGTACACCGTTCAACACAATATTCATGCTGTTTTTAACTTTAGATATTTGAGAATCATTACCAAAAATCAGGACTGACGATTTACCAGGATTCAATTTCAACAAATGATCCGCAGCCTTCTTAAAAAAATGATCTAAGTCAAGATTAATTTTATTTTCGGAATTTTCGATATCCTCATCGGTAAATGAAAAATATATTTGTGTATCATCTGCATAAAAATGATATTTACAATGCCTAAGAGAGGTCAAAAAATCCGAAGTATAAATAGTGTAGAGTAATGGTCCCAAGATGCTACCTTGAGGTACCCCCTTTTTCACATATAAAATTTCTGAATGTATATTGTTGATTATTACCCTTTGCGAACGATCCGACAGAAATGACTTCAAAAAGTTACAGGAATTTGTGCCAAATCCGGCAAAATGAAGAATTGCTAAAAGTAGCTTATGATTAAGCATATCAAACGCTTTACTAAAATCTAAAAGAACCAAAGTAGTAATTTTATTCTCATCAAGTGCCCTTAAAATATCATCTGTCAAGTCAGCCAGTGCGCTCTCACAACTATGGTTAGGTCTAAAACCCGATTGTTTAGTGGGCAATACATTAAATTTATTTAAAAACTCCCTAATTTGCCTATCCATAATTTTTTCTAATACTTTAGAGAGTGTTGGTAGAATGCTTATTGCTCGCAGCTGACTCATTTCTGTGGGATTTTGAACTTTGGGCAAAGGAGTCACATTTGCTTGTTTCCACGATAGAGGAAAATATGAATTTAAAATGCATTCATTAATTATATGGGTTATAAACGGAATGATAAATGGGCAACATAATTGTATCAAAGTAATATTTAGTTCATCGTTTCCAGAAGCCTTAGATTTTATATTTTTGATTAGGTCGAAAACTTCACCCTCTGTCGATAACTGAAAATCAAATTCTTCATTTACCCCATAGGCCCTATTATTTTCGTAGTGATTCAATAAGTCGGCATCTGGTATATCATTACTAAAAACAGAATTAACAAAAAAATTATTTACGTTGTCAGGATTGCTAAGGTTAACCGGTAAGATATTATTTTGTTTATTTTTATTTAAATTAAGTTTTTTTAATTCAGTCCATTTTTCCTTGATGTTCGAATTTTGAAATTTGAAGCGGTAATACGCTTTTTTTTCAGCTCGTATTGCGGCTGTGGTGTAATTTCTTAGTTGTTTATAGTAATTATAATGCGCTTGACGTTTTGTTTCTTTAAACCTTTTTAAAGCTTTATTTCTTAATTTTTGTAGCAATTTAATATTTTCAGTAATCCACGGTGCATAAGAATTATTTTTACTTTTCCGAAATTGTTTTATTGGCGCGTGTTTATCAAACAATGTAAGAATACAATTATTAAAAAATGCTATTTTATCGTCAATATTTGCAATATAAAAAAAATTATGCCAGGGTAAATTTTCAAGATCTCTTTGAAATTCGTTAAATGATATATCTTTTAATGGTCTGTAAAGGAAAAAAATAGGTTCTGTCTTCTGCTCGCAACAGTTAAGTTTGAAGTAAGTTAAAAAATGATCCGAAATATTCAAGTCAAGAACACCAGTTTCAGCAATATTTTCCACATTCGTGTACGAGTAGGTAACTAGATTGATGTTTTTGATTGTATAAGTAAGATTTAAATAAGAAAAGTCGTCTTTATTGATAACACATGTAAACTGTCTCATCAATATCTATAGAAGACCCCAGAGCCAACATTTCATTTGACTTTATGTAACAAAAATGAATAATTCCTAATCAAAGTGAATTTTAATAAGGCGAAAGGACAGTTTTTGAGCAATAAACCTGCTACTTAAACTTTTACCTTTCAAAAAAATCCATTTTAGACCAACACAAACAATAGCTTTTGGTCAAGCAAGACATCTTTCATTGACCGATTTTTCCCGGTCATTATCTACTTAATTAACATCGGAATACCTTTAATTAAACCTTGACTCTGTTTCAAGCACGTGCATGCTTTTTCCGAATACGAAAATTCGCAGTTCCTTGATGTTACATCTGTTTTCTGATCCTT